GATTTTATATTGTTTACCTTGTACTGTTTGAGCTATTAAATCATCTCTATTCTTGGTGTAATCTTGTCAGGTGAGTTTGGTTGTGCAACCAATCTTGTTCAATATAATCCAATAAAAGAAACAAAACAGAGGAGGATATATAGTACTGCCTTGGAATTAACATAATTAATATCCCAATCCATTCAAATGGTTTCTGTAGGTAATATCAAATAAATGGCAATTATAAAGGCATTGTGATGGCTAAACTACCCATCTCAGTGGTAACAGGTAGAAACAGTGAGAAAGACTGGATAGGTGGCCCCAAGAAAGCACAGTACGATACCCTCTTCATCTCCTCTAAGGAAACAGCACCTCAAGTAAATCACATGCCTATTATTAAATTTACTGGATTAGTGGTTTAATAAAATAGAGGTCTATTGATCTTTGGTGGATAGTTCATGTTTTGTTTCAGTTGGTTTGTTTTTTGAGGGGCTTTTTTGCTCTTCCTTTTAATTATCTGATCAAGAACAAATGCTATAAACTCACCACTGTCTTTTTTGCCCTTATCTGATCATTCTGTTTTCTGCTTGGAGTGCCTTTTTAAATGACTTTTGTTTTTAATTCTTTTTTGGGGGGGTGGGGGGAAGAAGGAAAAGGACAGAGAGAATCTTTTGTGTGTGTGTGAATAACTATTTTCATTATTTATTTGCAAATTTATTTATTTATTAACACAAAAATCTCTTTTTTTGAATATTTTTTTATTGGAGTTTCATTTGCCAACATATAGCATAATACCCAGTGCTCATCCCGTCAAGTGCCCCCCCTCAGTGCCCGTCACCCAGTCACCCCATCCCCCCGCCCACCTCCCTTTCCACTACCCCTTGTTCGTTTCCAAGAGTTAGGAGTCTCTCATGTTCGGACAGAGAGAATCTTAAGCAGACTCCATTTCCAGTGTGGAGCTCTGCCCAGTGTGGGCCCGAATTCACGACCCGAGCTGAAATCAAGAGCTGGACATCCAACCAGCTGAGCCACTCAGGCACCCCTCCATTTTTTTTTAAAACTAGGCTTTGTAGCCATTTCCTCCAGAAACTCTTCCCTGATGCTGCCCTCCTTTAGAGTCTCCTAAAGGTCTCTTTTTTCTTGCATTTCTTTAATTATAAGATACCCTTAATAGTTTATAAATTTCAGGAGGACAGGATACTTCACACCATTAAAAATAAGTCTCCATTGGTTTTTAAATGATGCACCATTGTTTTTTATGGCACTAAGAAAGGAAAAAAAACGTTAACAGTTTCGTAATTGCGAGATACCAAAAATTTAAGATGATCCAATTTCAGATAAGTTACAATGTGGGGTAAAAATATGCATCTCAGAATCAGTGAAATTCTGCATCTCTTAATTGACTTTGTAGCTTCAATATAACAAAATTCTGGGCATATAGAAAATTCACATTAAATGCTTGCAAAAGTGATTAAATAAATGAATGAATTCAACCTAGATTGGTGCTTTTCATCAATATATATTTTTTAATTCATTCAAAAACCAAAAAGAATCTAAAGAATAAAAATTTTTAATTTTCAAAACTAAGACTTATGGGTACAATATACAAATATACTGGTTCTGATTTTTGTTGAGTAACAAAGCACCAGGAAAAGAAAAAAGAAAAAAAAAAAAAACTGTTTTCTGGGACGCCTGGGTGGCGTTGAGCACCTGCCTTCGGCCCAAGGCATGATCCTGAGGTCCTGGGATCGAGTCCCATGTCGGGCTTCCTGCATGGAGTCTGCTTTCTCCCTCTATGTCTCTGCCTTTCTCTTTCTGTGTCTTTCATGAATAAATAAATAAAATCATTTAAAAAAAAAAACGTTTTCTAAATATAACTGTTACGGTTTCACATTAAAATAAAATCCATAATGTCAACTGCCTGGGTAAACAAACATTATTATATTATGGTAGATTAAAAAAAAGAAAAGAAACATGTTGCTTTGTGATATCTGTTCTTGATGGTCTGCACTAATAATATGGAGGTGGATTATAAATAATCCAAAATAAAGAATAATTTAAAACTCCTTTCTATTTGAAGTATATTCATATATTCATATTGTGGAAAGATAAACACAAACATAGACTGTCTGGCCCAGGGATAGATATTAATAAATTACCAGGACTTGTTTAATTTCAGAAAACAAACTGATTCTCAATTAAATTTATAAGGGAAAGATGTCCTAAATCAAAAGCTGAAAACTTTCAAAAGAAATATGTTTAAGTTTAACCCAAATGAGATATTTACAAGTTGCCTTGTAATTTCTTGAGATAATAACAAAGTCTAGAACTGCTGAGAGGCAAAAGTGGTATAAAGGAGTGAAAAAACTAATATCTTACAACAATGAATTTGGAAATCTAACTTCCTTTCCTTTCCGTTTTTCCATGTCCTCTACAAAGAACATTATAAAAATAGTTACCCCGTACTGAACTAAATGCTTTCTATACATCATTTCTAATTGTCAATAAACTCAGAATAGATATTAATATCATTTTATACTTAAGTACACTGAGGCTGTAAAAGATTAAAGAACGTGTCCAACATCACAAAGCTAGTAGTAGTAAAATCACCTCTAAAGTTTCAACTTATGTATAAATACCTTTCCAATCCAAAGAAGAAAACTCAGAAAAAATTGGGAAATCTTTTCTGTGACCAGAAACCAAAGAACCAGTAATAAAGACAGCATTACCTCAATTTATACAAAGTAGGAAGAAAGTTGTTTTGAGGAAAGATAGTTAGAATTCTGAGGACTGATAAATTCTGGAATTCCATTTTGTAATGTCTAGAAGTCAATAACTTTTAGACTGATAATGTACAATAATTAAAGACTACCTTTATTAGTATAATACATATGTACCTCATAGGTCTATCACTAAGGAAGGCTGATTAAAACTTCTGTATGACTCTATAATTTCAAATTATTTCTATCTACCTTTATCACTAAGGGAGGTAGTTATTGCATAGGAGTTAAGGGCATAGGCCATGGAGAATGACAAGATTAGATAAAATCCTAATTTTGTAGCAATATAACTTGAGAAAGTCACTTAGCCTTTCTAAATCTCACTGTCTTTAGTCACAAGAATAAGGTTACTAATATCTGACAATGTTATTGTACGAGTAAATGAGATAATGTATATAAATCATTCTACACAGTATCCAGTATACAGTAAGTAATCAATAAATCTGTTATGGTAATCATTTTGAGAATTCTGTTTCTTTGGTATATATTAAACAAAAACTAAACTTTTTTATTGGCTGTGGGGTTATAACACAAAGTGCAAGGAAAAGAAAGGTCCGTTAATATTCCATTCAGAAAACATGCCTTTTAAGTGTCAGAACAATTTACCAACAAACTCAAACAAAGTCCATATTTTACAAGAGAAAAAGACAGACTTTAGTCCTTGGAAATTGCAATGGGAAAGCACATTTAAAAAGTAGGGCAAAATGCAATATTGTAACATGTTATTGCTACAGGAATAGAACAGTTTCTCCAGACAAGAATCAATTTCATTATTTACCACTGAGGGGAGCTGTAACCTAGGAAAAGGTTTACAGAGAGTTCTCCCAAGGTTACTTTTAAACTTTCTCACACCTTAGAGTATTCATTCAACACATTCTGTTTATAAAACAGGCTTATGTACCTTTCCGTGGCTTAGTTAGTTTATAATACGTGCTTCAGAAACTTGGAACTGGTCACTATCTTAATTGTGTAATAACACTTTTCTAAACAAAGTTAGTTTTTACCACCCATTACAACCCAAATTTAATTGGCTAACTCTTTAACACATCAAGGTAACAAAGAGACTTCTGATGTATCACTGAGTCATGAGTATTAAAAACTGAAAGACCATCCATTGGGGGAGAAGCTCTCACTTGAGAATGAAAGCTAGCTTTTGATGCTGTAATCAATTCTGACAAGTCTAAGTTTGTTTTTAAAACTTCAATGACCACTCCAAGCATAATGTTCAAATCTATCCTAAGAAAGGCCAGAACTGTGAACATGTATGAACATTTCACAGTTACATTGGCTTATTATCTAGCCATTAGAACTCCCCCCACCACATTTGGACCTGATCTTCCCAAGCTTCCCAGCTCACTTGTGCTAAAAATGACCCAGCTACTGCTGGAAAAAGTGCAGAAGTTTTCCTTCCATCACTGAGATATACAACAAAGTCGGGCAATATACCGATTCTGGAAGGAAAAATATGCTGCAAGCAAAGCATGTTATAAATCTGTAATAAATATATCTTAGAATTCTAAAGGTGATTATGACGATGACAATGGTAAAAGCTAATATTCACTGAACCTATTCAATCTGCAAAACAACCCTATAAATTTGTGTCTGAGAAGTTAAGAAACTTGCCACAACCATACAGTTCATAAGAAAAGCACAACTAGAGCTTGAAATCAGGTCTATCTGACTCCAGAATCCACATTCTCAATTCACTATATTTTATTCCCTATCCTTCCTAATCACCATTTGAAAACATTTACTGACCACCTATTATATGCCAACTAATCACTTGGGATTCCACAATATTTAAATTAATTGGAGATGATTATTAAAACACTAGTCTAGAATCCCTCAACCCAGAGTTAAAGCATGAACTTTATTTTTAAAAATGTCAAAGGCCATTTATTCATGATTTTGTTCAACAAATGTTTAAATAAGCATTTGCTATGTGAGAAGCATAGTCCTAGATGCTAAATAGATAAAAAGATGAATAAAACGCAATTTTTCCCTCAAGTCCCAAACCAAAGTATACACATAAATGAGTATTTTTACTGTTACACTTGTAACAAAACTACTTCTTAAAAATAATTCTATGGCTATCATTTCACTAAAAAAAAATTCTAAAAGCTACAAATCACTACTTAATTTTCACAAGGTAACATTTCTCCTACCACCAAAATGCTAGCATACTTTAACAATGTATACAGTCAACAATGTGAAAGGTGTTGAAATTTTCCATTAGCTTACATTTTCTATGACAAATGTCCACTCTTTATCTTCAAATTCCTCTGCATGAGGATCCTGTAACAAAAGCAAAATACAAAGTTGAAATATATTTCTTTAAACCAATCAAAATCAAGAACATACAAACAGCTTTTAGCTCATACCAACTTTTAAAAAGAGAGAAGCAGAATAGCCTACTCTTATAAAACTTCCACAATTTCTCTACATCTAAATTCTTCTTTTATATTGAAAAATTCTTTATTTTACTTATGTTGATGAATGTAATTATATTCCATCATTGCACCAATGACAAGCCAAAAAGAAACCTAATCAGAGAGACAGATAATTTAGTGAGTGAACTATTAAGAAGCACTTTATTAAGATATAAAGTGCTCACATAAAGCTCTCGTCTTGTTTTATACTTTTAAACTAACAATACGACTTGAAACAAGGCTTTCTTCTGCAGAGGTTATAGAAACATCTGGAATTTCAAAGCACTGCAAGGGACTCTATAATCTACACAAAACGTCAAATTGGCATGGCTGTTGATGCTTTCATCCCTCCTCCCCTCCCATTAACTCTGAAGATGCCTCAAAAACCTGAGACAGGGTAATGGATCCTCTAACCAAAAGCAAATTAAAAAAAGAAAAAAAAAAGGCACATTTTCGCAAGTATTTATTTGACAAGTACTTATTCAGTACTTATTATGTAAGAAATTGTAGATGTGCTATATGGACTGAAACATAGTTGTCCTTGCCTTTGAAGACAAACACAACTAATCTAAATAAATATGATTATAGAAATACATGGTTTCACTACAGATTAGAAAACAGCACATCACTTCTAGGAATGAATCAAAAAGCTTAGGAGAGAGAAAGCATCTGGTCTAGGTGGGATTCTATAGGATTTCCATAGACATTCGAATAAGTAAAAGGCAAAAGGCAATAGAGTGTAAGACATAAAAATGAAAGCTGTGGGGTCGCATCATGTGTGCATTTACTTACTCAAATTAAACTCTAGTTAGAAAAGGCAGAGAGAGAATAATGTAAATCAATGTTGAAGGAACTTTTCCATGAGTGATTTAGGGTACAAACAGTCCTACTTTAGAGACCAAGTAATAACGTATAGCACAATGCTGAGGAAAGAAACATCTTACCACCCTTCCTGCCTGCCCTTTCCCCTCATTTGGTTTAGGAATGCAGCATAGCGCCAGCACAGCTAATGTAATTAATAATAATACAATAAATATTTACTAAGCACACACTCTGCCCCAGTGTTTGTGCTGTTTTCCATCACCATAGCAACTTATGAAACAGGTAGCATTTTTATTCCCATTTAAAAGAAGAGAAAATTGAGACCTAAAATATGGACCATCCCACAGTGAACAATAAGTATTAAAACTATGTTACAATTGCAAGTCTGTCTGACTTTTAGCTCTGCTCTTGGTCCAGTTTTACTACTTTGCTCCCAGGACATAGAAAAGTACCAGTCACACAGGAGGCTCCCAAGAATATCTGAAGAATGTATTAATGACTATATCCTATAATTTAACCAGTATTGAACAGTACCTTACATATGACATACATTAATTCTCAAAGCAGATGAAACATATTTTTAAAAAACAGAGATAATGTATTACTCTTACAAGAATAATTTTAGTGGGACCAAGGGACACATCTGACAGGGCAAAGTCAGTAAAAAGAGGCAAAAGAGCAACAGTAATGTTCATGTTCATTTCCAAGTCATTTTAAAATGGCATACCTACACAATTAACTATTTATATTATTGACCAAACAAAAACATTTGTAATGAAAATTGCTTCTAGCTTGAATCAATTAAGTCTTCTCTGTATCCTATTCTAGCCTCTAGAGTCTCCTTTCTCACCACTGCAGTAAAGAGAAAAATTGAAAATGGCTTAAAGAACCATTTTTATTTTCAATACCCTAACAGGCTTTTTTTTTTCATTTACTAGAAATAGCTCATTTCAATCTAATTCAAATTTCAAAAACAAGTGTACAGGCTAGAAAAAATAATTTCTGGCTAAGTCACAGGAAAACAAAACATATCGCTAACTTTCTAAAAGCATTTGGTCTATGAGCACACCTCTATGGATACTACACTTCGGACAAAAGGGTTTAGAGTAGTCCTTGCCTACTCACAAATTTCAAGATTAAGTGAATTGTGAGAGTTTAATATAAGTAAAAGAAAAAAGAAAACATGAAAAAGTTTTCCACTTGAATATTTTAAACGCTGTTCAAAAACAAGATCCAAAAATTACACTGAAAGAATGACAAGTTGTTTTATACCTCTCTGCCTTTCTATTAGAATTCTGGGGAGTAAGGGAGTTGGGAAGATAAAAGCAGCCACTGAAGATACCTTTTTAATATTTAAAATGACCACAAAATTGCCTCAATTGCACAACTGAACAGAAATGTTTACCACAACAATCCAAGGAGAAAGGGGTACTTGGATTTTTTTTCTACAGACTGACAATCGAAGTCATAAAAGTTCCATGATAAGGATAGGCTGAACAGTCTCATCAGTACTTGAAAACAACACTTAACTCTTAATCCTCCAAGTACTACATTTCAACAGCCACTTTCAATTCAGAGTCACTCAGTTAAGTGCATATCCTTTTCCCAAACATGACTGTCAACAATTTGTCAGCTCTATTCTAGCCCCTTACTCTCGATCACCATTTTTTTTAAGTTGTAAAACTATGTCAATTCGTTTCATCTTTCCCAATGTAAATAGCACACCAAATCAAAATACTGAAGAGATGGCTTAAAAGTCTTCCTCAAGCATGTCAAAGATCTTGCTGTTGTAATCCATATTCATAGTGGTTTTTATTACAGAACAGGTCGTACAATGTAGAAGGAAGAAGAGGGCTAAATCAGCGTGACTTAGCAAGAGACCTTCTTCCTCAGTCTGTTTGCTTACCAGTACAACAGAAATAATTACACAACCTTAGGGTTGCTGTGAGTCCAAAGGTCCTGCAGCTCTCTACCAAGCTTACTGAATCATTTTAGTAGGAGATATATGGATAAGGAAGCTTAATAACAGGCTTTTAGGAAAGCTGGCTGAAGAGCTAAAGGATGGTCCTGAACCTTTGGAGAAAAAGGAAGAGCTGCCACTGTCTCACCCCTTCAGTCCTGCACCATTAACTTAAACACAACTGGAATGCTTCTAGGAAGAAATAAAGCAATTATTTTCTAATTTCAAAAAATGAGACGTCCCCCCCACCATTCTTTTGGAGCAGACAAGGAGTTGGGAAAGTTAATATTCTAGAGCTTAATAAGGACTTAGTGAGGACTTCTGTACAATGTTTCAGGAAATATTAGACTTTCAAGAAAAAAACATATTTATAACAGGCAGGTAGGTATACTCACAGCTATGTTTTTGGATCTGCTCTTTGAATTTGCAACTAGAATTTTGCTTTTAAGCTGCAGTATTAGTAAAATATTAATAGTAATAAGATATTTATCAAATATCAATTTAGAACTTCTTACATCAATAAAATATTTATTGAATACTAATTTTTAAAATTTATTTATTTATTTGAGAGAGACAGGGAGAGAGAGAAGGAGTGGGGGGTAAGGGGCAGAGGGAAAAAGAGAGGAGAGACTCTCAAGAAGACTCCCTGCTGAGCACAGAGTCCCATACAGGCTCAATCCCAGGACCAAGAGATCATGGCCTGAGCCAAAATCAAGAGCTGGCCACTTAACAAACTGAACCATGCAGGTGCCCCTCAAATATTAATTTTAAAACATATCTTGTAATTAGTCAAACTGGGCTAACAAAATGAGGCTTGGGACTAAGAATTCCACAAACCTCAGTTTTCCATAAAAAAGTACCTTAAAGTTTCCTGTGGGTAGAATGAGGGAAATAGTAAAAGAAGTATTCTAACAGATCTCAATTGTAACAAGTTCAAAAGAATTCCCAAATTATTCTGACTTCATAGTCCATGAAATACCCTGATGCCCTTGCACTGTTACAAACTGCTATAGCCATAAAAATAATGTACATTAAGGAACCAGGTTAGACCCAAATATATATAGAAAAATGAATACTAAAATAGTCTGTCATTCAGAACCATGATTATATAGTAAGTTCTAGAACTTATAAAAATGGAGCTTACCTTAAAAAGTGTCACAGTGATTTCAATGTTTTCAGGAACAGGCCACACTACAACACCACGGTATGGATTTTTTATTCCAGGTTGCCAGCTATGAGCCTACCAAAATAGAAATAATGGCTTCAATATGAAGTACAGGAAATGCAACATTAATAATTTACAAAAATTTATCGACCCTATTAAACTATCCATTAGATCTGTAGTCTCCTTGAAAAAAATGATTAGTCAAGTAAGACTTTTCAAGCATTAAACTTGGACCAGGAGTTCTATCACATGATAGCTATAGATTACTATCTGTAACCAAAACTTTACCTACTCCCTCCTCACCACCACATAAAAGAATAATCAAAAATGAAGTGTCTCATGTTTTCAAAACTACTATTTGTGATTAAATAAAAATTTTATTAGGAGAAAAAAAATTTTTTAATGACTTTGTTATCTAGGAACTTAAAGGCAAATTCATTCTTTTAAAAGGAAAAACAAAGTATATACTTTGCATTTAAGTTCACTTCCTATTAAACTGTGACATTTATTTGGGCAAGTAAAGAAGAAAGCAGTTTTTATAGAAATAATATTTCTAGCACTTGTAAGTTTCAAGATTCTTCTTCTTTGTAAATCTAGTTTATCATGCTTCCCTAAGGATCCCCCAAATTTGGGTGTCACCACTATCGTTCTTTCTTTGTGGTGGCACTTCCAGCCAAAGCTGGATAAGAAAGTTAATTGAAGAGATAAAAAAATCAAAGTTAAAAGAGAATAGATGCTTATTACATATTCAAGTGTAGCTGTTCATATAGGCAGTTCAATATATGTGCCTAGAATAATAAATCTGGGCATCATTAGCACACAGGTAATATTTAAAGCTTAAGGGTAGATGTGATACCAAAGGGAGGAGTACAGCTGGAGAATATAAATGTTCAAGAAATGAACCTTGGGGATCCCTGGGTGGCGCAGCGGTTTGGCGCCTGCCTTTGACCCAGGGCGCGATCCTGGAGACCCGGGATCGAATCCCACATCGGGCTCCCAGTGCATGGAGCCTGCTTCTCCCTCTGCCTATGTCTCTGCCTCTCTCTCTTTCTCTCTCTGTGACTATCATAAATAAATAAAAAAAAATTAAAAAAAAAAAGAAATGAACCTTGGAGCACAACATTAACAGGTCCAAGAAATGAGGAGGAATCAGCAAAAGAGGGTTCGTATAGCAGAAGGAAAACCAGAGGTGTAGGTATCCTAAAAGTCTAGTGAAGAAAATGTTTCATGGAGAAGGGAACAATCAATCACCTGTGCCAAATCTTGATAGGTTAGATAGGACGAGGCCTGAAAAACAACCGCTGACTTAACAGAGCAGAAGCCATTACTAACTTCACAAGAGGTGTTTCAGTGGAATAATGAGAGCAAATGCTTGATTGGATTGGAATGGGTTCAAGAAAGGATAGAAAAAAAGAAATTAAGGATACCAAGTACACTCAATTCCTCTGAGGTGTTTTGCTGAAAGAGAAAGAGAAAAATAGTCTGTGGTAGTGGTAAAAGAGTGGCAGAGACAATTTTTTCAATAAGAGAAAAATATATTTTTTAAAAAATTTTATTTATTAGAAGAGAGAGAGCGAGCACAAGCAGAGGGAGCAGCAGCAGGAGAGGAAGAAGCAGGCTCCCTACTGAGCAGGGAGCTCTATCCCAGGACTTCATGGATCATGACCTGAGCTGAAGACAGACACAACCAACTGAGCCACCCAAGCGCCCCAAGAGAAAACTATTTTAATGCTGATGGGAAATATCCAAGTAAGGGGGAAACCTTGATGCAAGAGAAAGAATTACTAGAGTAATGCCCTTAATGACAGAAAAGGAGACACAGACAATTCTCCCATGATAACAGGAAAGAAGTTATAGGAGTACAGATGTGTGCCAGGGTACAAATTTAACAGATAAGGAAACTGAGGCACAGACTGGCCCAATATCATACAGAAAGTGGCAGAAGTTGCATTTGAAACCATGAAATGGAACTAAAAAAGGATCAAGATCATGGACATTTATGTCCATTCAAATCTTACCATATTGTTAGTTAAAATGCCAGCATAAGATATAGGTTTAGCAGCACCCCCCTACTCCAACTCATAAATTGTCAATAATTCTCCCTCTATTCTGTCTCCATTGCCCTCCAATCACAAAACTTCAAGTAAGGAAAGGGAAGTAGAGATTTACCATAACAGACTTAGCACAGCATACCCAAAGGTAAAGAGCTGAGAGCTGTTGATCAAAAAGTATCTCTAGATTCCTCTATTCCTCTGCCTATTTATGGAAATATGCCTACTGACAATACTAGAACAAAAACTTCACAAAGCAAATAATCTCCATTTGAAAAGTAAATTTCTCCCTACCTTAGATAGTCCTTAATCAAAACTCTGCTCTACATATTCTACATACTTCATCTTGAAGATTTATGACAATTCTAATTGTCATGTACTATGATGACAGACCAGGTTATTCCTCTGATCTCTTCAAATTCACCATCATTATAGTTTCATTGTCTCCCCATAGAATGAAAACATAAGAGTATAAGAACTAAACTTTCCTTATTTGCCACAGTAAAGATAATAGTATTTGTAAAATTCTTTTTTTAAAGATTTATTTATTTATTTATTTATTTATTTATTTATTTATTTATTTATGAAATAGAGTATGAGCAAGTGGGGCTAGAGGCAGAGCAAGAGAATCTTCAAGCAGACGCCCCACTGAGCCTGGAGCCTGTCTCAGGGCCCAATCTCATGATCCATGAGATCATGACGTAAGCCAAAAGTACAAGGGGGACGCTCAACCAGCTCAGCCACCCAGGTGTCCCCTTTTTGTAAAATTCTCAATGAAAAAATGACCACCAAAGAACTTTATTTTTTTCCCCGCCCACCATCAAAGAACTTTAAACTTGAGATCCTTAGGAGATCTAATACAGATAAGGAAACCAAAGCAAATAAAGAGGTAAACAGCTTGCCTGAACCCATGCTAGCAATCAACAGAATCACTTCCTTGATTTCCAAGTTCAGATTTCTTGACGTAACCAACATCATACCCAGCTCTCTCCATGGTCTACACAGTAGTCAAGAAAACAGCTTTCTACCCTAAGGTCTTATCATTTATTGGATGATGCAAAGATGAAAAGAGGGAATGTAGAGACTACCTAACAACTGGGCAGAATTAGTAGATGGTTATATCAGATCATTTCCTCAGGTACCCTAATGCTGGTCTTCTAAATGACCTCTTTCGATCCTTAGCCTTCGATCACAGAAACTGGATTGCTCAACAAAGAAAAACACAATCTGCTTAACAAACTAAGAAAAAAATTTTTTAATTAAAAATGATGTTAGGGTATTAGTTCCCAAGTTGCTAATGTGCTGTCATTTTATTACCGTTCTACTCAGCATCTCTCTCCCCAGCAACAAAAAAATCCAACTAAGTTAAGCTCTGGCTTTCTGCTGTTCCTTTTAAAAACTGTACAACCTGGCTAAGTTAGGACACTGTAACAAAATCAATTAGTCCAGCTGAGTAGTTGGCACTGCCAGCTTTATAATGTTAGCTAATTATTAAACAGTAGGCAGAAAACAGGACCAAGTAAATTTTACTGGAGAGGAAACCAGAACTGTACACAGTAGCAAACATGAAAAAAAATTCCTATTTTCAGAGAGCTTACTACAACTTCCATGTCAAACAGAATTCAAGAATCTGAAGCTAGAAAAAGAATGAAAAGTCCAATATCAGATAAATAGTGCTCACTCGATTGGGTAAAAAATACCTAATATGGTTAATAAACATTTAATTGTACAAATTCATAAGGACATTAATTTAGGTTCTTAAGAACTTCATTAGAAAAAGCATATCACATTGGCAACATCAGCACTATGAGAACTGTGATCAGTTTTCATTGAGAGTAACAAAAAGGATTCTTTAGAAAATTCAGCACAGAAACACAAATACAGCTATTCAGCTTCTTTGTATAGTTAGGAAAGGCAGGTTACTTCTTTATTTGCCAGCATCCTAGTATAGACAATGGTACAAAGGATTAGGCCACATTATCTAGTTTCCCTTATATAATTTTTCTGACTTTTTGGACATGACAGTTTGCCATGCCAAAACAGATCTAGGGAAAAGGTAACATTTCTCAATTTAGGGTACTAACTCTACAAAATGCCTAATTTTCTAATTCTTTCATGTCATACCTTCCCTAAAAGACTTGTACCTAATATGGTACTAAATACAGAGTAAACATTCACTTGTTATTTCTGATTCCTACAAAATCAAAATATTTCACTAAAAATTTACAATTGTCAGTTGTTAAATAATTTTCAATTTATAAAACTGCACATACCCATATGTTTAAAATGCTACATATAAAGTTACCTTAGAGTTGTTGCCATTAAGGCAAAGCTCTGCAAAGTACCTCCTCTTCCTGACATCTCAGCATACTGTAAAAGGCTGGAAACAACCACAGAGCAAGGAAGTAAAGGTGGTAATGCCATCAAAAAGCTTAAGAGGACTTCAAGCTCTGGTTTCCCTTTGGAATTCTCCCATCTCTCTGTGAGCTTAAATTTCTATCTGGAAAACCATATTTAAGACAACATACTAGGGGATCCCTGGGTGGCTCAGTGGTTTAGCGCCTGCCTTCGGCCCAGAATGTGATCCTGGAGACCCGGAATCACATCCCATGTTGGGCTCCCTGCATGGAGCCTGCTTCTCCCTCTGCATGAGTCTGTGCCTCTCTGTGTGTGTGTGTGTGTGTGTGTGTGTGTGTGTGTGTCTCATGAATAAATAAATAAAATCTTAAAAAAAAAATAAGACAACATACTACTATGCTGTGATTTGGAGAGACTATCATAATTGCCCTGCTTCCTACTGTCCTATATTTGATTTAAAAATAACTTATTTAAGCATATACAAGTCAACTGCAGCCTGACAAAATCTTTATTATAAATGCCATGACTTAGGGCACCTGGGTGGCTCGGTTGGTTGGGCGTCTGCCTTCAGCTCACGTCATGATCCCAAGGTCCTGGGATCGACCCCCTCATTAGGCTCCCTGCTCAGCTGGGAGCCTGCTTTTCCTTCTCCCTATGCCTACCATGTTCTCTCTCTGTGTCAAATAAATAAAATCTTTTAGAAATAAAGTTTTTTTAAATGCTATGACTCAAAAAAAAAATAAACAAAAATGCCATGACTTGAGGAGATAGGGAAGCTGCATGTTGTGTTAATTATCCATGGTAATTATTTTCTCGAAAAAAATGAGTCAGCAATGAACTCTACTTATACATTTAGCTATAAAGATAAACATGTGTCCAAAGAAAGTAAGCACTAAACTGAGAACTAAACTTTAAATAAAAGTAGTGTGCCTTATTTATTCTCTAATCTGACATTTATCTGGGTCTCAGTTATAAGTTGCAATCTATCAATATAGAAAAAGACAGATATATTCAGAACCAGGAAAGAGAAATAATAGGCTATAAGGATGACAAAAACCAAACTGATCACTGTACAATTCAAATTCTTTCCAAAAATACAGTTAAAAGTAAATGCTAGACTATTTTCTGGCCAATGGTTGTAGAGCACTTTTTCCCCCTCAGTGACTTCCATGGGACTCAGCAGCAAATGATGTATATTTTAAAGGAAAACATCAGAAAATAGAACTGTCTTTCAGAAGAAAAAAAATTGGTTCTAGTCTTTGGATTTAGTATAAGTGATAGCTAGCTTTAAAAAAATAGCTGGGAACAAGTTTTTTTTGTTTTTTTTTTTTTTTTCAAAAAATTCCAAAATGTCATGGTTTTCAAGTTTCTAAAGATTAAACAGTTATTTGCTTAACTTTTATAATAATGTTATAATCATTTCTTTCATAATTTCTGGAACTGATTTTTAAGTCCTTTTTTGGCTATTCTGTACAATTTATAAAACAGCATTCACATACGCATGAACATACTATGCACTTGCTGTAAGGAGCTTAACACATTGTGGGTTCTCATAAATTTTTCAAAAGAAATACATCTATAATGTTTTAAGAGAAAACACAATGATTCTGAAATACACAGAAGGGATCTGAAATATTAAGAGCATCACAATTAGACAGGAGTCCAAAAAATAATTCCTTCTAGAAAATACTGCATTCTGAGAAAAATCCACCTATAGCCTCCTATGTTTGGATTTCACCATCTGGATTCAATCAATATTTGATACAATATGAAAAAGAATCTGGACCTAAAAGATATCTGACTTTCAAAAATGCAATTAAATAAAGGGGTATTTAACTTCAAACATGGATATGTATTCTGAATTGGCCTATAATCTAAAGTATTTCACTGTTTCATATTTTCTTAGAAAACAATTATATCTAATTATTAAAAGGAGGCAATCACTTTCAGTTGATAGCTAAAAACACATAGGGTCTAATATTTATAGTTTTACAGTTATATTCATCTATCATACATAGTGTATTGTTCCTTTCCATAAAAGCATAAGACCACTAGGCAAAAGCGACAAATACCCAGCAAAACAAAGAAGACCCTAAGTCTGCTTTCAGAACCCTTTTTCACATGTAAGTGATAAGAAAATATTACAGGTCCAATAGATAATGCCTCCAAACTATAAATGTATGCTTTGAAGAAGAATTCATTCATGATATGATGTAACTAGATCTTTCCTATGTAGCTGGTAGAAATACATTTAAAAGTTGAAAATGTACCAACACTATTACCCAGCAAATTCCATTCCTATGTATTTGCCCAAGAGAAATTAAAATAATTGTCCCCCAAAATACAGTAGTTTTTATGGCAGACTTATTCACAGTAGTGAACATTCAGAATATTCACTGGAAATGAATCAAATCATCAACAGGGGGGACGCCTGGGTGGCTCAACAGTTGAGCATTTGCCTTCAGCTCAGGGTGATCCATCCCAGGATCGGGGATCGAGTCCCACATCCGGCTCCTTACAGGGAGCCTGCTTCTCCCTCTGTCTATATCTCTGCCTCTCTCTCTCTCTCTCTCTCTCTCTCTCTCTCTTTCTCTCATAAATAAATAAAATCTTAAAAAACAACAACAACAAATCATCAACAGGGGCTTAAATAATCAAACTGCAAAATATTCACTTGACGGAATACTATTCACCATAAAAAAAAACTACCAAGTTTCACAAGAGCATGAATAAATCTCAAAAACATTATGTTGAGCAAAAGAAACCACACAGAAAATAGTACCGTATGATTCCATTTACATGAAATTCAAAAACAAGCAAAACTAGTTTATGGTAATACAAAACTCAGAATAGTGGTTGCCTCTTAGAGTTGGGAATTAACTGGAAGAGGACACAAAGGAAAAAGAGAGGAAAATAATCTATATCCTAATAGGAATACTAATTACTCAAATATATATTGATCAAAACTCATTAAATTGTATAAGATTTATATGTAATTTTAACTGAATAAAAATAAAATCTGACAAGATGTCTGTAAAATATTAAAAATTCTGAAATTAAACTTAAATTAAAAGGAATACATTTTTTCCTCACACAGGGCTACTTATGGAAAAACCAATATCCACTAAACATGCTTATAGTGTGTACGTATAAAAATATATTCATATTTATCTACAGAATAAAATTTTTAAGGTATCTGCAGAGCCGTTATTCAACACTTAAAAATTCTGTTCTATCCCCCACAAAGCTGTAAGTGCAAAAAGTTAAAACCTTTGAAAAATCCAACTCCTTTTCTCCTGCTGCTCAGTAATGGACTCCGATAACTCATCATTCCTGAAGTTTGCCTTAACTTCATCCTCTCAGAATCTGAATTTAAAAATCCCAGGTATAATTTTGTGTTACCTATTTAATCACTAATTCATTATTACCATTGTACAGAGAAGTTAAGTAACAATGATGTTATTTAAGGCCATATCTAAAATCAAAAGTCAGGTTACCTGGCTCCTGTTTTCAGAACTACAGTAACACAATCACAATGCCTGATCAATCATTTTAATAGATAAGATAGATATATGAGAAATAACCCAAAATATCAAGTAATATTTTAAAATATTCTACACTGGGACAAGAGAAGCTTAATAATTTGACTAGAAGTTTAATTCAACATTTGGTAAGAAACTTAGAAAAGAGACAAACCTTAGAAGACTTCCTTCGGCTTCTTCTTGTCCAAACTACCACCAGTTTATCTGGTTGCCTGTCAAATGGGAAAAAAGATTAAGTATAATTTATCTTACATCAAATTAATAAAGTTTAGTTCTAGTGCCTTTAAAAGGACAAAAATGTCACCTACTTTAGATTACATAGAGGAGTTAGTCTTATGATAAATCTCTGTAAATTATTCAAATATAGTAAATCTTGAATACAAATGTGATCTAATTTAAATGACTAATATTTTATCCACGTTTTTCTAAAATTCCTTAGCAATTAATTCATTGGGACAGACCAAGTAAAATACTTAGAACTGGTGACTATTTAAAAAATAAAAAGCACACATACATACATGTCCTCTAAAAATTAATGCTATATATCTAACACATTATCTACTTTAATTTGGAGAAAATAGCATAAAAATGGCACTTCCAAAATAATTTAAATCTACAGGTTACACTACTTTTACATCTCATTATCTTATGAACAATGCTGTGGTTTTCAAAACATTTTTATAATCAATCATCTCAACAATCTTCATAAAAATAATACAGTACTAAAATATACATAAGGTACTTTACTCTTATTCCTATTTTATAAATTTTAAAAACTGGCAAAAAAATTAACCAACAGCTCTGGCAGAACCAAGTCTGAAATATAGGTCTTTTAACTCTCAGACCTCTCTTCTTTACCTTCTGCTAACGTAAAGTAAAAAGCAAAAAAACCCTTATGTTTTCAGCTAATACAACTAAGTTCTTTTTAGTGCTTACGGGAAACAACAAGATTATGATTATCAGTTATTTTCCTTAAATTTTTATTTTAAAAAATCTTAAATAAAAGCTTTTTAATCAAGAAATAAATGATATCCTCATTTCAATGACTTTCATCACTTCTGTCTCATATATTTTACCCAAAAATCCCTATCAGCAGATGACCTCTCCTTTCATTTACTTAAATATATACATATGTATATATACATATATAATAGGCCACCAGCCATAAACTTCTTGCCCAGTGATTCATCTATAAACCTATCCAAAGAGAGAATCATTTGATAAAAAAGTACTGAGAAACTGACCCAGAATGTTGCACAGAAAAACAAGTGATAAAAATATCTTAAAACAAGGTAAGAGAAAAAAAAAAACAAGGTAAGAGATATAAAAAACAAATTGCAAAGTACATACATCTAACAGAAATTCTAGAAGTTTAGAACAGTGGGCATGGCAAAGAAAATACTGAAGAGATAAGGCTAAGAATTCTCCAGACTTGAAGAGAGTCCTTAGATAAAAAGTATATATTAATTAATAGGATTATTAAAAATAAATCTAGTATCTAGATACCATACAAACTACAAGGCAGCAAGAATAAAGAGAAAACCATACAAGACAGGTTACCAACAAAGGAATCACTGGACTGATAGCAACTTCTTATTAGCAGCAACAGAATCCAAAAGACAATAAAGCGAATGATCTTCAAGTTGCTAAGGGAAAATAGCCGTCACCCTTGAGTTTCATACTGGTTAAACTATCATTTAAGAAATGGTTTTAGACATGTCCTGGCAAAGAGCAGATAATCAATAAATATTTGATGAATGAATGGGGAAAAAAAAGAAAAACTGTTTTAGACTATGAAGACTAAGAATTGACAATGCATACATCCCAGTTAAATAAGGGAAGCAGTAGGATGCAAAGCAATATAAATATCATAAAATGTTAATGCTTGTTCATTTTAGGTGGTAAAACCCAAAGAAAAACTAGACCAAAAACAGAAGGAAGGTTCCAATAATTAAACTGCTGACTAAGGAGACAACTAAACAAATACACAACATTTCTGATGGTGATAATAACCAGGATCATATAAATACAAAAATGGTGGTTCTCCATCCAAGACGAAACTTAGGTCTGAGTGTCAGGCATAAAGACAACAGCAGTAAACGAAAACCAGTAGCTTGCTTTGGTAAGTCTTCCCAGAGTGAGATCTTGGGGGCCACAGCCAGATGCAGAAGTGCTAAATTACAGATGAAATGGAAGAAAGTTTCTATGAAATATCAGAATGAAACCTAAGAATCCAAACCAATGCAGAAAGAAACAAAACCTTGTTCAACACAGAGAGAAGCAGAACAGAACAAAGGACAATGAAGATGGGGAGCAGTAAAGGAATATAACAGGGGATCCCTGGGTGGCACAGCGGTTTGGCGCCTGCCTTTGGCCCAGGGCGCGATCCTGGAGACCCGGGATCGAATCCCACATCGGGCTCCCGGTGCATGGAGCCTCTGCCTATGTCTCTGCCTCTCTCTCTCTCTCTCTCTCTCTCTCTCTCTCTGTGACTATCATAAATAAATAAAAATAAAAAAATTTTAAAAAAAGGAATATAACAGATGGAGCTGGGAAGAAGGTGTGATCAGTGCTTGCAGCTTAACAGTAGAGGGAATGAGTAGCCAACAAATGTAAGACACCTTGTTTGAAATTATTTACGGCTTGCTGGAACATTTTACCTAGATTACTACACCAACCAACCTTTTCATCATGTTCTCATCTCCACATCTCCAGGCAACTCCAACTCCTAATTATATTTCCATAGTACTTCTTTAAAAATGCTATAAAATCTTAGAGCTTTTGCTTGTTTATTACGCTATACTCATCTCATATACTGTAGGTGCTACAAACTGGTCCTTTGCAGTTTGAAGTTGACAGATTCATTTTTACCTTAATAGTATTCCATTGTCTTTTATTTTGAATTTAAATTTTAAAAAACAGTTCTTACTTAAATGCTTTTAAACAAAGTCCATGCTGTCTGGATTATTAGAGCCTCCACTATGACCTGCTTCACTCCTGACCAGCTTCTAATTAGACCTTGCATACATTTGACCCCCTGACAACCTGGCATGCAAGAGACTGTCCATTATTCCTGAATGTTGTTTATAAGGCACTTCACCACCTGACTCTGATCTACCTTTCTAGCTACAAATATGTGAACACATACTCCCTTCAATCTCTTCATATCTTTGCATGTAATTACCTTTCTTTAAAAAAGTTCCTCTTCCTTCCCTTTTCTACTTGATAAACTCTTAATTCATCACTTCCTCTGTGAAATCTTGACTACTCTTCATTTCATCTCTACCCCGTTCCATATTCCACATCTCAGGCAGTAATCTGCTCCTGCTACTGTATTCCCAGTAATACCTTAAAAACATCTCTAAATATTCAATATGCCCTATATTACACTTTTATTATTTCTAGCTCCTCCACTTGATTGCACTCCTTTATCAACCATATCTTGTCTTTATATTCCTAGTAATTAATAAGAATTTGGTACAAGGCTGAGGCTCAATGAACACGTGCTGTTGAATGAAACTTAAGTTTCCAGCAGAAATTCCCAACTGGTTAATTATAATTGATGAGGTCCAACTACAGCCAGTAGCTATATAATACATCCTCTCTGGAGCTTACTTGAATTTTGCAAGGATTCTCACCTTGGCTGCACATGGGAACTTCCTGGGAAGCTTTTAAAAATACTGATGCCTAGGTTCCACTCCTGGAGAATCTGATTTAATTTGATGTCATCTGCAGATTTTTAAAAAATTCTTACAGGTGATTCTAAATATGCAGTCAAAGTTGAGAACCACTGGTTTCACAGGGAGAGTGGTAAGCAACGCCTATCACAACTGACTTCAAACACTAGTGAGACATACCTTGTGCCAGTAGTGGGGGTATCTCCCCTGGGCCTGACCCCACACATCCTTCTAGCCACCATCCATCCAGGCCACCTGCACTGTTGCCTCCTTCTAACTCAGCTTCTCGGCACCTCCCTCCCCTCAACCATCCTGATTTCAGTGCTTCAGAACAGGGGAAGCTTTTTACCATAAAAAATCAGGAAGAGTGGTCTTCTAACCTACATGCCTGAAGGTCCAAGAATGACTTATCTGAGAATAGCCCCAGAGACAGCTAAACTTTTTTGTGCTTCTAAGTCATGTCCCATTTTTAAAATCTCTTTATTAGAAATCAGTCCACCTTTGCATTATCATGGGCAACATAAGGCAGTATTCTAAAATAAAGGTTCTATGACTTATTGTTCTCAATAGAAGAGTACCAATAACCACAAAATTAGCTGACCACAATTAATATTTTAAGCATCTGTGCTGTACTAGAAAAGAACCATTAAATATTTACATATATGCCACAAGAGACTAGGGACAGAGTAACCGTGAGAATGTTATCCAACTACCAAAGAACCTAAAATTATACAACTTTCTATCAAAAAAGTCAAGACAACACGATAGAGCTCAGGTTTCAGAGACAATTCAATAATCACATATTTAACATTTCTACCCCATCCCCTGACTTAAGTAACCAAGTCTACACATAATACATACACAAACATACAAATACACATATATATACACATAAACATTTTATACACATGCACATAAAATGTATACACAGATGAACTTTCTTTGAAACCTATCTAAAGAGTTCCATTAAAAAAGCTGAAGTTTTGGGATCCCTGGGTGGCGCAGCGGTTTAGCGCCTGCCTTTGGCCCAGTGCGCGATCCTGGAGACCCGGGATCGAATCCCACATCGGGCTCCCGGTGCATGGAGCCTGCTTCTCCCTCTGCCTGTGTTTCTGCCTCTCTCTCTCTCTCTCTCTCTCTGTGTGACTATCATAAATAAATAAAAATTAAAAAAAAAAAAGCTGAAGTTTTTTGGTGGATTTATTCAGGAAAGAAAACTTCACAACAAAAATTAAAATTTAAAAGAAATTAAATTTAACACCTCTAACCTACCCTTCAGAGTCCTTAAAAAGGAATAAGTTGACTGTGAAAGTGGGAAAACTTATCTCAAACTGTGGTCCTAATGCTAAATTCTAGAGAGTAGGAAGGAGGAAACTAAAAAGTGGAAAAAGGAGAATATAACAGAGCTACAATGAACCAGAGTATAAAACCATAAGCTTTATCTTTCTTTGGTCTGAAGCTAAATTTTGTGCCCTCCTCTTTTATGACTAGCGAGCTTAAAGGTAAATTAAAAAAAAAAATTGGCTTAAATTTAG